TTTTCTGTTCTACCTTTCCACTAGCCTACACACTGATGAAGTGAGCACGGCGTACCGTTCGTCCCCTCATCTCATTTCAGTGGGGGCGTTATAGCTCCTCGGGGGCGAGTACGGTGGGGCAGTCAAGTAGTTCACATCGGTACTTCACGCTATTGTAGGGTTCCGGTGCAGTGAATGCTGCGAGGGTCCCGTTCTATCCTCTATCGTGTTGCTGCCGGCGATCTATCACTTATACCGCGGCTGCAGGTTGTGTCCAAAATGCGTCTTACAACCTTCCTTGCGAACCGCCTAGCTCCGTTTGGCCGTTGGACGTCAAGTTTCACCTACGAAAGTCCCCCGCCCGTATCCGCGCCTCCATCTCGGTAACCAGTGGAGGGATTTTCAAATAAGCGTATAGTAATCAAGGCGTTGGTGAAGAGGAGGGGGGGCGGTGGGGACGAGGAGGAGGCCGCAGGGCTCGGCAATGAGGGAAGTGATGGTGGTGAAATTTCAGATGGTGATCAGAACGAGACAACGGAACTGGGGGTGACGACGTGGTAGAGAGAGAGCACCAAGAGTAGGAACCAGTGAAGCTGCGTAAGTAACAGCCCAAATGACTTGCTTTTAGCAAACAGATGCAATACACAAATTTGCTTTCGTAGCCGTTCTGCGCGTGACTCCGTCAAAAACGATTTTTTTACAATAAAACGGCCATTTGTACATGCACGATGTCGCGTATAGGCTTTACAGAATCTACTCACCATGCCGGATATAAAGCATGTGGGTCCATAATACGAACGATTCCAGGATCTTGTACAAATATACGACACTGATCTTTTTCCTATACAAATTTTACGTCAAGACTTTTATTGACATGCTTGATATCAAGCATGTGAAAACTAGTCTGTGCATTCGAGATTTGCTCTCGTAACGGGGATGGGGGGGTAGGACGCACGAAAAGGAAATCTGCATTTTGATGAAGGGCCTCCCGCCACTTTCTTTTGTTGTGTGATTAACATACTGCAACTAAATAGTAGTAAGCTGACTATATAGTAAAAATTAAAACCAAGGCGTTTGTGCGAAAAGGCGAAAAGGTGAGGGGTGTGGGCGAACGGTCCCCGCCTAAACTTTACAAAAGGCCACCACTGCCTCGAGCCTCCTAGGCTATAGTTTTTTTTCGACTTAACTTGAAGTAAACTTTTTGAAGAAAGCTGACATGGAAAAATCAAAATTTCTAGACGCTCCATGTGAAGAAACGCTTTGCAACGCTACATAGGATTGCGCCAAGTAGTTTTGTATCGTTTCAGAAGAAGACGCCACGAGTAAGTATTTTTTTTATATTAACAATTTGATAAGTAAATATGCTGTGGTTTTAAAGGTATTAAAACAGATATCCTAAGTGCTTTCATAAAAGCGAAATGTCAACTTTGGTACCAGTCGGTTGTAGAGACAGTAGAAGCCTCACGTTACAGTATTGGCATTGAGTCACCGCTCACTACGTAGTAGCTGAGATTGCTTTGCCATGCGACGAGTATGATAACCAAACTTGCTTTTTTTTCAACACCACACATTTAAATTTAAGAATGTTGTTTTTGTGCAGTAGAAATAACAAAAGATGTCTGCGCAGTACACTACATCAAGATATTTGTACGCCTATTTCTAGCCCCGCCGGGATAGCACACAATCTCGAAATAAACACACACTTGAAACTGCCAATATAGGATCCTGAAAAACGCACAGCCTTGGTATGATGTGGAAACACACGTCAGGCCAGTCGCCTAAAAGCCGAAAGTATGTAAGGATTTCACGCCAACTCATAGCCTGCCCGCGTCAACCAGCCACCGCATTAGTAGATTTTGTATAGTGGGCGAGATCCAGAATGAACCACTCTCACTCAACCACTCTGTTAGCTACATTTACAGCACATTAACAAGCATGTACATGTAATACTACTATTAATACAACAGTATCTCAACAAAACAGTTATACATGTGTTTGCTGCAAATATTACGATGGTATCAATAAATCTAGTGCTGCATAATGTACAAGCTATATAAGGGGTTATAACTGCCATGCTTCATTTTCTAGCACAAGAAAGAACCAATGTATTGTTCATTTGATTTTTATCGAAAGGATACCTTCAAGCCATTCCTCGTAAGCCGTCCTGACGCTGTTGTACTCTATCTCACGTTTCCCCGCGGCTTTCATGATATTGACAACGTCATCAGGGGTCTTATTATCTAGAAAGAACTGAGCAAACTTGCTTGTCAAAACCTCATCGCGCTGTTTGTGGAGCAAGGCAGTCCTGATCTCTTCAAGTCTCTTAGCTTTCGCTGCATTTTTTGCTTCAGTAGCAGCCCTCGTAAATGGCATCCACGCACCTACGTCCGTAAGTGTGTAACCCCGTTCTTCTTTCAGCTGACCGGCTGGTTCGCTCATGACGTCTGCTTTAAGAGACCGTCGAAGTAGGGTGCTGGCCGACGTAGTTAGCTGAGGGGAAGCTTTCTCTAATTCGATATGAGTCGAGACTACATTGACGCTGACGAGTAGACTGATTGCAGCAATGCCAAGCGGGAGTACGGTCTTGGTCCAACCCATTGTTGTCTTGGCACTTGGTGGGAGAAACTTGTTTGATAACCCGCAAAGGAAAACGAGAAATGAACATGTGGTTTTGCAGCCCACCGGATGTGGGTAGTCGGTACAGTACCATTGAGGAATGATCAATACTGTACGCTCGAAGTACCGGCCCCAGTGCGATCCCATTTTATGGGTGGCACATCTTCCAGACAGATCTCTAAAAGACCGGATGTCTTCAAAAGGGTTCATGGAAAAACCTTGATAAGGGTATACATATTACTTGGCTTTGACCAAAACTCGATGTCGCATTGGGGCCGATATTTCTTTCGTATATTGACGATCCTCTCTATACCGGTAGTATAAACTATCGGTATAGACAGGATCGTCAATTTACGAAAAAAAACCGGAAATTAGCTCAATTTACGGCGTCGGATAGAACCCAAGCTTTTATCGCCCACTTGTCAAAACGAATACTTGTACAACACTATTGTGGTGCGCTTAACAGC